CCGGCCGGCTGCTCCGCGCCCCGGCGGCTCCCCCCGCCGCCGGTTTGAAGGCAGCACTTAACCCCTCCGCCCCCCCCCTCGGGCCTCCCCCGCCCAACACCGGCCGGGCTCTCCCGGCGAGACCTGCACCGCGCTGCCGCTCTCCAAGTGAAAACTGTGTTTATTCCGCCCCCCCCTCCAGGCCAGGGCAGGCTGCAGCCGAGCGGCATAAAAAAATCTGTAGAAAAAAAATTGGGAAAGGGGAGATGCACTAAACCAAATCACTGCAACAAGAGCTGAGTGAGGTATAACATACTTCACATTTTTCCTCTAAACTCCCAAACATTTTACAGGGGAAGACCCCTCAGGGGTTGAAGTCTTTGCAGCATTTAGAGGACAGCAAAGCAGCCAGGCAGCTGCTGAAACCAGAGAACAGCCTCAGGAAACACAGAATGAGCAATTTGGGAACATTTTCTGCAGCACTGTGTGGCCTGGCTAGATACAAAGCCTGAACTCATCCACACCACGGGTGTGTGGCTCGGGACCAGCCACCGTGGCCCTGACAGTCCCTCGGGCACAGCGGTGGGACCGGGCTACAGAAACCCCCTCACCTGATCCCCCTTGGTGCAGTTCTCAACAGCGATACCCAAAGCATCACCCCACATTGCAGAGGGGATGGGACAGCCCTGCCTGATGGTGATGAGCACCCAGGAGCAAGCGATGGGAAGGGAAAACCATATGGCTCCTGCCACCCCACACTCTGGGCTCTGATTATCCTCCCTTTTGGGCAGCAGGAGGGCCCCAGCAGCCTTGCAGGGTCCAGCTGAGCATACGCTCTAGGAGGAAAGGAATAAACAAACTGCAGCCAGATATGACCGTAACAAAATGTTTAATGTACCTTTTCTCAAAGGTAGGCACGTGTTGTGCGCATTGTGCTCGGATGCTTTCAGACAACAGCAGCTGCAAAAGATCCACTCAGGCAACACAGCAAAATGCTGCAGAGAATTACAGTTCTACATCACAAGAGAAACTTAAACCCAAATTAAATACAATCTATTCCAAGCCCGACTGTAAAACATTAATTTCTTTTAAAAATTGATGCTCTGCAGCTCTCGATGAGCATCCTGAGAATAGGACTGTCCTAGAAACTCGGCGAGCCAGCCCGCGCTGCAGGAAACTTCATCACAGAACTTGTGTGTCAATGTTCTCCCATCCGACACCAGCTAAGAGCAATGGTGGATCCCCTAACAACCACAGTGCAACTCATCTTGAACGCTTTGCCTGCTAAAGTGCTTTTGGACATTCTGATGGTAAAAGGCACTAGAAGAAAACAAACGCAATTGCTGAGCAGCTTGTGAGGTGAATTTCAGGCAACACAAATCCCCACTGATAGGATTACATCAGAGTGAAATCCCAGACACCCCAACAGGCAAACTCCAGCACCGTCTCACAGCGAGTCACTCACCATGTTGAGTCACTTGAAACTGAACTGGCGTGCACAGTTTCCGAGAGCAAATCTGTTCCAGCGTATGGGAGAACAAGGTGACTACAGATCTCTCCCATCTCCTGCTCCTCTAATTCTAGGACATTTAGCTTCAAACAGCGTGTTTTGCCAGAGCAGCATCAGAAATAAAACCTGTCCTCCTAGTGCTTTGCACTAAACCAGTCTCATTCCCAAAGAGAAAACAATATTCCTGTTACAGTCCTTTCCCCAGCAGCGACTCCCAGTTAGCAAAGTGCACGTCGGAAATTTATGAGACAGATGCTGCTGACCAAAGGTGAGTGATGAAGTGTCTCTTAGGTGCAACTTCTAATATTGTATAGCTGGGGTTGTCACTTCTTTCTCCTTTACTCACTAGAAGACCAGCTGCCTTTATGGGCCGATAATATTTATGACTAACAGCCCAAAGGGATATATAAACCAGGCTGCATGCCAAAGCCCTCCGACCAGGGAGTGTCTATTCCACAGCCTGGGCCAGACTGGCACAACAACTTCAACTCTGACTTTGCCATCTGTTGGATGGAGGCAAGCTCATTTAATGCAGAGTGGAGAAAAAAAGTATCCCAGAGAGAAAAAGCTGCTCTATACTCTCCACTGCTGCCCTCTCTACAGAGCAGCCAAGTTGCTGCTAAAGCTGTTTGCCTGCATCACCTCAAGCTCCATAGCACACTTGAACATCATCTTAGCAGAGCACACAGTTTTCTGTTCTTTATTCTTTGCCACTGTGGCAACCAAAGCAACTCACCCCCTATTTCAGAGATTGCAATTCCCACTGCCGAGTTCCTAACCATTTTCCCTCTATTCTGTGCAGTTTAACAGCAGCTCTTTGACATAAAATGGAAAACAAGAGTCTTGTAATGTTTAGACAGGATGGATGAGTCCCGATTTCCTATGGAAGCCTAGGTCGGCACAGAAAATTTTCTACTGTGGCCAGTCCTGTCCCTGCTAACCATGACAGCATTCCTCTCTACCAGCAGCCAAAAGACAGTAACAACCCCAACCTGTTTATGCCTGTTTTGAAATGAGACATTTCTCTCCCTCAGAAGGATGCCATGAGGTTAAGTTCATTACTGGTTATGATGTCTTTCCAAGAACAACTGATGAACAATAAACAAAGGCAAAATATTGTTAGGATTTTTGGGAAATCTCAGAAGAGCCTAAATAACACAGAAAAATGCCAATAGGATTGAGACACTTTGAGAAACTTTCCTCCACATTCTTTGCATTTTCTCATCTAAGCAAAACTGCCCATTTTTAGAGTACATGCAGCTAACACCCCCTCCTCTTTGAGGCTCATATATTAGCCTCCTGCCTGACACTCACACTGCTCAGTGAATTTAATTCTATGTAGCTCTCAGTCACCTGCAGTGAAACAGCCACTTCACACTCCAAGATCTTAAACCACAGCAGACACAAAGTTATTTCGCCTGGGCTTGCAAGGAATCTCTCTAGATATCTCAGCCACCAGTGAAACAGCTGCTCTTTAAAAACAGCCTCTCACAATAGTTCAGGATAAGTGAGCAATGCTGATATGCTCAAAATCACCAGGAGAAGTTGCGTCAACAGAATGGAATTGGTCACGCTGGAATTTGGCCAGGCCATTTGGGATTAACACCCTGAATATTGCAAAAGAGCCACGAAAAGCTCTGCCCACGAAAAGCTCTGCGTTAAGAGAAGAACCATCAAACCATCCTCTAAATAACTGCAGTGCTCTGCCCTATCCACCACTCGCCAGATGACTAACATGCTTTTGTATCAAAGCAGCTCTTCCTCATAAGTCTGCCTTCCACACACTGGTCCAACCACACCCTGCTCAGCTTGAAAAAACAGAGAATAAAAGAGGAGGAAGAAAGTAATTTTCCTCTTTTCCCCTGTAATGTAAATCAGTTGTTGGTTGGTTGTTTTTGGGTTTCTTTTAACCATTCATAAAACCTTTGAAACTCCAGAAAAACACTTCTTCAGCTCTAATTCAATCATTCTTTTCTTGTCAAACACATGCTAAGCCAACCCATTCCGATCTGATGTTCAGTCCTCTCACTTCAGGTAATCTTGTCAAAACATTTTCATCTGTTAGCACCACTGCAGGACTGAGGTTCAGAAATGTTTTGAGGCCACTACAGAAATACTTACTAGAAACATTCAAAGGTGGTATTAAAAAAGAAAGATATTTACTAGTTTCCACAGGACTTTTCCTTCATTATTCCAACTTAGACTAAATATTTCTAAAACTCTATACAGCATTTGTTTACTCACTGCATTGAAGCAAAGAACCCTGAAGTAAGAATTGGGTTTGTGCATTGAATCCCTTTAGAGCGGGGTTCTTAATCTGCAGGTCTACTTGTTAAAAGCGTGACTGAGGCAATGCCAAACCCTAAGAGATGTATGGCAAGACACGCAGGAAGAAAAATGGGCACTTAGGATACAATCAAACTCTCCAGAGTTAAAGGAAGAGCGAGGTTGGGTCAGCATGATCCACTAGAAGATCCTGTGTTTAAGGTAGCTGAGAACGCGCAGCCAGCAAGTGATAATCAAGAAGCAGCATCTGGCAGCAAAGGAAACCTGAGGTTCTATGCACACTAAAGAGGTTTTAACTGACTTCACAACAGCAGGACAGAGCTACCTGTGCAACATGGAGAAAGATTATGGTGCAAACAGTAGGCCATAGAGCAAGGAAATAAAGCTGTGCAGATGCAGTGGTAGGAAGTGATGTTACGTTGGTTAAGCAGCACTAGCTAGGCCAGGATCCCTCTGTGGTCCAGGGCACACACAGGAATTCACCCACTTTATCAGGTGCCTTTTCAGAGCAGTCTCTGCTAGGTAGTTGCCTGCTTGGTTCCCCTCTCCCCCCACTAAACGTGTGCTGATATTAGAGGAGACAGAGTAAAAAAGCGCTCAGTTGAACAGCTTCCAGCAAAGCAGTTCAGTGTCTTCAGCAGAACTGCAGTCGCCTTCTCCTTCTGCTTGGTCCTAGGAGGTGATTTCCTACAGGCTGGTGGAGCTCTGGGAGCTCTGACATTTCCAACATACTCATGACAGAGCAAAGCCATCAGTTTTCCCTCCTCCAGGAGAACACCAGGTAGCCATACACGTGCCCCTTTCAGCATTCCTTCCTCATAGTGCTATCGGTGTTCTTCAGGGTACACAAGAGGCTGCAGAACAGTTCATACCAAAAGAAGACAAGGCCAGTAGAGACAGCAGCCTTCAGCAAGCTGGGCGAAAGGCCCTTAAAGAATCCACCTGGGCCCTCCTCTCGCATGATCTGTCTTACACAGTCCAGGAGACCCCTATATATCCGTACCTAGGAGAGAAATGGTGAAACGGTTAAACAAGAAAACTCCAGGACAACTTACCTGGAAAAGAACACAGAGATCCCCAAACTATACCACAGAAACGTAATCTAGACGTGCAGCCTGGAGATGCCTTTCTGGCTATTATTATAACTAACTGAAAGTTTCAGAGAGCCAGTTTGTAGAGAGTGGGGTAGAGGCAAAGTACATATTTTGCATCAGCAGTGGCTTATGCAGATTGAATGGCCATAAAATCTTTATGCTACACCAGCATGTATTATTTATGGTACAAGTTTGTGAAGTAATTATTTCAGATTGTGCTGCTACTGTTTTCCATCCCCTTCACTCTCTAAGGAGGGACAACTTTTCAGTTTTCTGACAGAAAGAATACACAGCTACAGCACTTAGAAGTCTCCAAATTAGCTATCTGCATGTCATCGTGTCACACTGTGAAGGTTTAACACCTTGTGATGCATCAATGCTAAGAACAAATTGTGTACCTCACTGGAAGAGGAAAAGCATCCAATGCAATGGGTTAAGACTTCAAATTCCTATCCCAGAGTTTCTCAGGTACAGACTGATTTGCTTCTCAGATCCAAGGAATTTGAAGGAAAAAAAAAAAAAATTTCCACATTTCACAGAAGAAGAGAGACAGTTCCTTGAAAGGTCTGTATTTGTCTTACAGTGTACTTTGAGGTGGTAAGGATGGTGCTAAAGAACACCAGAAGTATTTAATTCACTTTAAATTTCAGGATGTTCTGTACATAAGACACATGCTGAGCACTTGGTGCCCATTCCTTGTGTCAAAATATTAATTGCAGAAAAGGATCCTGACAGACAGGCGATCCCAGCGTAAAGCTAGTATCATCTGCTAGTCCTGAATCACAAATACCAAGCTGCAACCAGAAAAGTAAAGTAAATCGAAACCCCTTTGCCTGCCCAACTCATCCCCAGCTCTGAGACAGCCAACCTGATGGAGGTGGATGAGAAGGTAGAGCACAGGTATGTTGGACAATGTCATAAAATGAACCCAGTTTATTCATGTAGCTATTCCCATTATTAAGTGAGACCAGTGCTCAGCTCCCAGAAGTTCCCTGGGAGCTCCCAACCCAAATACGAACACAACAGGTACCACTGGTGAATCATCACTGCATTCTGGTGATGACTGGCTCTGGATTGTCTTGATGCAAATCCATACTTATGAAAATCAGTCAATTCAAACATTCCTCACCTGCCCAAAGGCTGCCCGGGCATGCTCAAAGCCACCCACTTGCAGTCGTTTTTTGAACAGGTCAAAAGGGTAAGTGAGGGTTTTGCTGATGATTCCGGCGCAGCTGCCACAAACAAGGTTTTTAACGTTGCCTGAGAAGCAGAAAGGGGAGAGGATAGCGGGGAAGGAAAAAAGAGGATTAGCAAGGAGTTCTGATTAAAGATCATGAGAGGTAAGTTAAAATCACTTTTCACAAGAAGTAAGGCCAAAAAGGCCCTTTAAAGTTACATCACCTCTTCTGCATAGCTTGGGCCACAGAACCTCAATCTGTATTTTCTGTATCAGGCTCGCAATTTCCGTTGGAGCCAGAGTGTAACAGTTCACCTTGGTTCATTACACTGATTTATGCTTTTGCTCGTGCCAAGTGGCATTGCACAAAAAACCCCCAGTCACCACAGAACCTGCCACTAGTGGATGGAAAAGTTTTCATGCCCCCCAGTAAAAGCCTGGTCACTGGAAAGCTTGAACTCCTGATTGCTCATATTGACTTATTCTGGATTGGAATAAGTCACAAGTTGACACTGCCTGATGATTTCAGAGGCTTGCGGGAAATGAGTTTTGTGATATTAGACTTTTTCCTGACAAACATGAGTTCCCAGCACAAAACCACCATCAGCCTCTGCCATCTAAAAATAAATATGCAGACATGATATTGAAAAGTTTAGTTCCTCTGTTGAAGAAATTCCATTGAGGAACAAAAACACGCTGATGCTGCATACACTCTCTCTCAGGTAGGCACTAGTATCTAGAACTGTCAAGGTGACCAGGTCGCATCAGGATGAGGTTCTCTTATAACAGAGCTAGAAATCAACATAAAAATATCAAATCAAGAGCTTGGCAGTTTTAAATTAGGCTAAATGAATCCTCTTCTGTAACAACTGTGCTGGAATCTGCAGACAGATTTCCTGAGGAAATTCAAGAGTCCTGTCCCCACAGCACTAATGAAACAGAGAAAGATTATGCCAGCACTGTCTTCCCACAGTATGAGTAATGTGACACAGCTCAAGAAAGAGTACCCTGGCCTGTGACACTTACTTTCCCATCCATCCACATTTCCATCATGGTTATTCCATAACTGGAGCTGTTTGTAAACTTCACTGTACTTACTCGTACAGTCCACTGACTATTATCTGCTGCTGTTGTTTCACGTGGACACCAGTGATACAGCCAGGAGCAGAATGAGGACTATCAAGAAGGACTATGGGGCCCTGAGAGCGGCAGTAAGGGACTCTGGAGCGCAGGTAGTTTTTCCATCAATCCTCCCGGTCAAAGGGAAGGGGTTTGAAAGGGCCAGTCGAATCTGGC